AAGTTTCAAAGTAAAGACGTTCTCCCAGCTCCTCTGCAACATGACTATTCTGCTGAGCAACTAAGCTTTCCCATTAAGGTCACCCTCACGCTGATAGAAGGGAGCTTAGCTTTACTCCTCTGCCTGGACACTAAAGATCCTTTGTCTTTTTCTTGTTCAAATGATTTGAAACATTGTTTATATAATTCCACAAAGTCTATAAATCAATGGTTAAGGTGAAAATTACATTTTCAACTTTTTTATCAATTGAAGTAAAACACTCGATAAACTTATTACACTGAAAGCACAATGTTTCAAGCAAATAACAGTGTGGTCTGACTTGGTAGTTCACTGTATCGTACTTAAAGTCATCACTACACAGAGAAAATAAAAGTGACTCTGGCCCGGCCGGCATGGCTCAGTGGTTGAGCGCTGCCCTATGAACCAGCAGGTCTTAGGTAGATTCTCCATCAGGGCACTTACAACAATCAACCAATGAATGCTTAAGTAAGTGGAACAAGTTGATGTCACTTTCTCTCTCCCTTCCTCTCGCTCTAAAAATCAATGAAATAAAATAAAAAATTTTTTAATTGCATCTAACAATATCCCTCAAATATATTAAGTGAAATTATACATAAGTGGAAAAACCCACAGTTACACCGATACATTATCAAACCAGGGAAAGCTAAATTAAACTGGAAAATTGGCCGAGAATCACAATGTTGGCGATGAAAGCATGAATATGGAGAGCTCACATCTAAGGAAACAAGTCTTACCTGCAGTGACAAGTAAAAGCCGTCATCTGGTCCTGTCAGCTCAGCCCAAATCTTGGTGGCTTCCTCCCAGGACATCCCCCTCTCTACACTGATCTATAAAAGAAACAACAATATTTAAATTCAACTCACTTCTGTGAGTGCCTATCACAGAAGGACAGCACCCTTGAATGTCACATGACTGCCAGACTAACCGTGTATAACTCCACATGACCAGAGGTTGAATATCCTGGAGTCAGAAACTTCTTAACATCACTTTTCCTCACTTTCTCATCTCCAGAACCAAGATCTTAAACAAGAAAAAGCAACACAGAAATGTAAAAATAACATTTTACTGGGAATACATGTTTAAAAACTTTCCCACTGCTCTGGCCAGTATGGCTCAGTTGATTGGGTGTCCTGTGCACCGAAAAGGTCACCGGTTACATTCCCATCAGGGCACATGCCTGGGTTTCTGGATTGATCCCCAGGAGGAAGTGTGCAGGAGGCAGCCAATCAATGTTTCTCTCCCTTCCCCTCTGTAAAAGTCAATTTAAGGAATATTAAAAATTAAATAAATAAAAAAATAAAACATTTCCCACATACCTAAGATTCCCATATCATATCTTCCATTTTTTTTGGCATTTTGAACAACTGCGGTGAGTGTGTCTGCAAAATACTGAAACAACGCATTCTGCTGATGCACCTCCATGCCCAAAATCCTATTTAAGAATTTCCCTATGTTGTTATAATCTGCAATGACAAAATTATATGAAAGATTTAATACACAAAAATAGCGATTAAAATTTTACTCATCCAAGCTTAGTTCCCTGTCTCACATTCTCCTGGACTCTTCCATCACAGCGCCTGCCCAGCCCTAGGACAGCCGCACTCTGACCCTTCTGCCTCTAGCAGCCAGCACGACCACAGTACCTGCTCAAAGGACATCTGCTGACCTCAACTTTTGCATCTTCAACTTCACTTACTCAAGCAGGAACACAATTTAACACGAGGCTGTCACTCTCCAACATCAAGTCTCAGCTAGCTAAGTGATGAGGGCTCCAACTGTGTCAGTGAAGCTCAACTTTGGCTGCACAACTAGAATGTCTAGAAACTTTGGAAGGTAACCCATGTCTGAGCTCCAGCCCTGACTTCAGTACATGTATATATATATAAAACCTGGGTTGAGAACTGCTGCTATTGGGACAGAACAGAGGTGGAGCCTCTGCTGAATAACAAACGAGAGCAGAAAGGAAGCCCCAGTGCTTTGTGAGCACTCAGTGACGAGGTTTGAGAACCAGGACTTGAAGCTTCCCCTTCAAGCCGACAAAGGCATAAATAACCAAACGGGCTTTACTGATACAGCAACAGCAATGTGTGTATACAAACCTGACACCTTACCTTTATCTAGAGTAAGAATTCCTGAGCGATCTTCTACATTTATCAGGCCAACTCCTATCAGTCCCTGTCGAACATCTGTAAGAAAATAAATTTATAAAAAACCTGAGAGCCCAAATGAGCCATTTTCTGACTAATCAAACTAGATCAAGTTCTAGCACTGAGACGCGGCCTACGTATGTCCCACAGTTCCTATGAGCTACATTAAATGGAGCCCACAGCCCCCAAAGGTCTTTAGGCACTCTAAAACCCTGGAGTACTCAAGCTTCACACTACAGTCTATTATTTCACTAAAATATCTTATGGCCCTGGCCAGGTTGGTTAGAGAGTCATCCTGATACAGCAAGGTTGCAGGTTCTATCAGGGCACATATAAGAATCAACCAATGACGCATGAAAAAGCAGAACAACACATCCATGTCGCTCTCTCCCCCTCCCTCTAAAATCAATTTTTAAAAAAATCCAACAGCAATGTCAGGCATTGCAGATCTTTGGATACACAGTCGTCACCCACAAAATTTAAACGACTTTGATCATGTAACAAAATACTACCTTCAACAAATGGGTAAATAAGGATATAACCACATTTCCTCCCCAAATGTCACCTACGAGTATTGACAAGGTACTGCCAAAAAAAAATAAATAAATAAGCAACATGTGCAACAGTCAACATGTTCTGAATTGTGTTACTAAGAAGGCAGTTTATGGAGCTTTAAAAAATACTGGCGTCTCATAGAACACGGAAGTGAGAGAAAAGGGCCAACAGGAAGCATGATGACATCGAACTGACACTTTAACCAGCCAGCACTCTGCTGCACGCTCAAAACTGTTTCGATTCTATGGGTGACAATCATGCAGCCAAAGATCTCTCGACTGCAAAAACTCCTCCTTTTGGGAACCCATCCTATCCCCATATATTGCCAGTACAGGGTGGGGCAAAAGTAGATGTTCAATTGTCCGCATAGAAAATAACAATAATTAACAAATAATACAAAAATAAACTCTGCGTTTCCTGCGCTCACAACTGCAAACCTACTGTGCCCACCATGCATAAAAGGGTATAATTTCAGCACCGTCTGTAATGGCAAAAAGGGAAACCAACTGAACAGCAGTGAGGGAACCCCTGGAGAAGCCGCTAGTGAGCTAGCCGTAGAACAGTATGCAGCTGTAAAAATGTGTCAGTGCTGCAGCTGCTGGTTGTAAGAGATGTCTGTAATATATTACGTGACAAGTACGTTGAAAAAGTAGTAGTAACAACATTTAAGGGAAAAGCTGTGTTTGGAGGAACTTGGAAAAAGATGCTGGGAGGCTGTCCCTTGTTCAGATTGTCAACATCCGTGACTACAGTGGGTGGAATGGAAGGTGGGAGGTAAGGGGAGAGCACTGCCTCTTCATTACACACTTCAGGTTTCTTTCATTAACTTACAATGATTAACATGTAATTTTAAAAAGTTATAAATGGGGGAGTCATTTATGACACTCCTTCCAATGACCAAAAAAAAAAAAAAGAGGGACAGAGAAGGAAAGGGGAAGGGAGACAAAAGCAGGGCCAAGGCTTTGCTGACATTGAATGCCACCGTCAGTGACCACCCAGACCCCTGCCTCACAGTCAATATGGGCAGCTACCAACTGGAGAGGCCCTTCTAGTGAGAAATGCTGACTCTACAACGATACTTCAAGTATCTTACAGCTATTTCTTAAATCTGTATTTCTTAAACCTATTTTCCAAATATTTCAGTTTCCCAAGCTACTAAAATCACCTAGACCACTCACATTTATGTAGCAGTCTATTCTACAGATTTGTGAGCTAGGTCTAAGAATTTCCATAACACTACCTAGAACTTTCTTTTAACATGAAAAATTTCCCAACACATACAAATGTAAAAGAGAATATTCTATGAACCACACACATTCTCATTGCCCTGTTTTAACAACTGTTAACACATGGCCAATTTCACCTACATCCCCCCAAGCAACCTCCACAGATTAGTTACCCAGGTCCTCTGACTTTAACATTAAAGTTTAAGGGCTACATGAGAGGGATTTTAAATTACTCTAACAAAACAGCTATCCTCTGTGAATCTGGGGATGGCACAGCACACTCACTACGCTAATTAAATTAGCCTACTGCTTATTCAACACAGGTGAACAGTATCCTTCAGTTTCTAAATTTTATAAAGCTGAAGTAGCTCTGCAGTTACAACAGGTCCAGTGCCGCCTCCTCCTCAGAGCCTGTTCTCCTGTGTTACAACTACGTTGAAAGTTACCTTTGAAGAATTCCCCAGGGTAGTCTGGAGGTGGCGACACCATAGGAGAATCCAGGTTGACAATGGATTTCATGACAATTTCTAATGCATTTCTTCCATACTGCAATAAAAAACAAACAAACAAAGTTTTAGCATTTGGAGGCTCTTCAATCACATGACCAACTGAACACTATAAAAATGATCAATGCACCAAAGATCAAAACCAGCAGGAATGAATCATCTTCATACACATCCTGTACTCCTAGTGCCTAGTTTACATCTGTGTACGTAGCAGACAATCAGGAACTTCTGGGAGCTCACACTTGATTCATTCACAAATATGTGTAACATTCCTATTTTCCAACGGGAATAAGAAGATGATTATGTTGCACAGCAGATCTCCCCATCATGTGAAACCCCATCTAATGGTCTATGGGAAACCATGTTTTACAGTAGAACCAAAAGAGGAGGCAGTGTGAGGTTTGCAGCAGTCCCTCCTTTCTCTCTTGACCACCAGACACAGCTCACAACTGCAAGGCCGAGCCCGAGATCTGAAACGTACCTTATTATCAAAGTTGAACCTGCTCAGATCTCTGGATTCCGTTGCTCTTCTGTCACCGTGGGTAAGTGCCCCCTATCAACACATAAAATTTCCAATAAAGAAACAGAAGACAGGTGACACACACCATCTTGTACAGACGTCTATAAAACTCAGGAACTTACCAAACTCTCAAGTCTTTTAGCAACAATAGATGCGAATCTTTGCTCTCCTGCCAGCTCAGAAATCAGAAAGACATATTCAGGAGCAGTAACTTGGTTTGATCTATGAGTTCGTCCTGCAACCACATTAAAAAACAATCAGATCTTGTTCCTTAGAAACAGAATTCTGAGATCTATGCCTAGCATTCAACACTAAGATGGTATCCAGAAACCCTGAAACAAGAGGAAAAACATAAAACTGTTAAATGCTAAACTACTACTGCCACCCCGGTTTGGTTAACCACAATGCTGCTGATGCACAGCTGCTCGGGCTTCTCCAAAGACTCTTGTTTGCAATCAAGGGGTACCAGGGAGGTGAAGATGGAAGGGAGGGAGCAGCAACATGCCCTCATGGAAGCCCCTGGGGGTTGTTGAAAAGGACTCTGAGTGGCAGGTGCTCTGGCACCGTGCACATCCTAAAGGTCTGTGATGAAGACTCTCTCGAGGAGCCTGCTCTTGGATAGGATGCCACAAGCCCCATGAAACCCCACTGCAGGTCTTCTACATCTTTTAAAACAGGTATGAATTCATGATGTACTCTCTATTTTAAGGTGTGTATATGCTGCACACACCTCCAAAATCTATATGTATGTGGAGTTTTAAGATGTCCGACATTAAGTACAGACTCTCACATCCACACATTTCACCAGGGACCCGCTATCCGCTGAGTGAAAGGCAGTGCAGGAACCCACCAAACTGCTGAATGGCCCGATCAGCACTCCAGGGCAACTCCAAAGTCATGTGGACCCTCCGCCTCTGATTTTTGGCTCTCCGATCTGCTTGTAATGAAATACCTGAGCTGGCAGCTTCTGAGATGATAGCAATATTCTGTAACAAATATAAGAGGAAAAAAGATCATCTCTGCACAAAGACAAGCAGGCAAGTACCCTAAATAAAGTTCTTAGGTAGGCTACTGGGATCCACCAATTCCCACTCTCCTCTCCTTCCTAAATTACAGAACCCCCAACTTTAGGTGCGTGCATGGATTCCCAGAATCAAGATTACATTTCTCAGTTTCCCTTGCAGCTAAGTGAGGGCACGCTCCAGCCAGCAGGTAGTAGTATGTGAACAAGGTCCAGGAAAGGCCCTTAAAGTTGAGGACACGCCCTTCTCCTTGCTCGTCTCTGCTGGCTGAATGTAGAAGTGCTAGGAACGAATCTGAAACAGCTCTTACATGGGGCAATTTGGAAACAGAGGCCCACATATTAAAGGAACAAGATAGTGGCCACACCAGCCTTGGTCTAGCTATTCACAGGAGACGTGTACCTGGGAGGAGGAACTTCTACTCCGACCAAGTCAGTGTGGCTGGAGCTTCTGTGACTTAGCAGTCAAAACTAATTCCAATTAATCCAACTCCTAATGCATATGGGCCAAGGTCATGAAACAAGTACATAAAGTAACTGATAGTACCTCTACCTACAGCCTGTAAAATATGTAACATAAGCTTTTAAATATATTTAAGATGCAACTTTGACAGTGCTGTCACCTACTTCCAGTTGCAAAGCAGAAAAATGTACTGAAGTGCGACGCCAAGTGGGCAGAGAGATCTCCTCCTCTCAGATGACAGCATGGCGCTGCGTGGCGCTACCTACTTTTTAGCAATCTCATCAGCATATACTTAGAGCAATTCCAACTCGATGGAAGAAAAACTGAGCTGAGAGTCTTAAAATTGATGATGTTTACTTAACAATAAGAACCTACAGAAAGAAATAGCCTCTGAGGCAACCAAAATCCCTCCAGCAGTCAAATAATGCAAGTCCAATCCACAGTCATTCAGAGTCAACTATCCTAACATACAATGACACAGCAACAAAGGACACAGCTCAACCAAAGGACACTAGTAATCTGGGCACACAATGTATTTCTAGGTCCAAAATCAGACTAGAGGGTAACATTACACACAGTGCCACTAAGATGAGCTTGGAGAACGCAGTATCTGAATATTCTGATTAGAGATGTGAAGAGCCCCCAAAGCTATCAAGACCCACATCTAATTCTTTGCTGAGCATAAACCAATTACATTCATTTTATCAGAAAATAAGATGTAAATGTTCAGTGACTGTGTATAATGACTAAAAAACATCACAGGGTAACAACATTCAACAGGCATAATTGACATTAAAAAAAAAACACCACCTTCTAAAGATTAACCTAAATGTTGAAAAGCATCCACAAAAGAAAAAAAGAGGGCATCCCAGAAAAACATACCTTATCTCCATCCATAAATCTTTGTTTTTCTGTGATATTTAGTATTTCCACAGGGACATCCAGTTCAGATCTAGACTCATAAGATATGCTTCCATCATCATTGCTTACGACCCTCCCCTTGCGGCCAGTCATCTGCAAAGCCAAACAAACAGTGCCCCTTACAATTAAGGCACCTGACACAGACCTAGGACCCTTCACTGGAGAAACCTGGTGCGAGGTGAAGCCATAATGAGCCCATTCGTGCTGCCAGCCTGCATGCCCCCGGTGCTGAGGGCGAGAGACACTGCCACACAGACCCTGGTGTTGGAGGCGCAGGGATAGAGGGAGAGTCTCAGGGCAGACACAGATGCTAGGGGCTCGAGGATCAGGATAGAGTAGAGCAAGAGCCTAAGATCTGAGAGGAAACTACACAGACTGTTACATGACACCCAAAAACACCACTTTCTACAGGGTTTTAAGGTGCCAAAAAATTACCCAGGAGAGATACAGCCCTGCTCGTCCCATTTACCTCAGCAACATTCTCAGGGCCGCCCAGCTCATCAATGAGTTCATCCAGGGTGTTAGGAGGGAGGTCTTCAGCTAATTTTTCTAGCTTATCAAGTAGGTCCTTCTTCATCTGCTGGGCCCTTTCCACGGCATCCTGACTTGTTATAAGGCTACTGTTACTGTTGGTGTTACTGTTAGCTGGAGAAAGCACATTTGTTAAAAATCAGTGCAGACCCCGCTGGGTGTGGCTCAGCACTTAAGCATCGACCTAGGATCCAGGAGATCTCGGTTTGATTCCTAGTCAGGGCACATGCAGGGTTCTGCGCTGGATCCCCAGGCAGGGGCGTGCAGGAAGGAGGCAGCCAATCAATGACTCTCATCATTGATGTTTCTCTCTCTCTTTCTCTCTCTCTCCCTCCCTCTCTCTGAAATCAATAAAGATATATTAAAAAAACAAACAAAAAAACCAGTGCAGAGCTGAGGTATCTGTTCTGCTTAAAAGCACATTTCACAGACAAAGCAAGCTTCCGCACATACCTGGTGTGCTGTTAGGAGCCGGCGAGATTACCGGGGTGGACGAGAAACTGGGTCGCTTTGATCCAAGACCTGACGCTAGTAAGGCACTTTGGATGGAGTCTGGGTCTACACTTCTCTTTTTCTTTTTATCTTTGTTTTTCTTGTGCTCTTTTCTGATTAACCAAGGATCTGAAAGTTAAGGAAAGATATACGTGTTGAGTCACATGTTAAAACAAGCACAGTCCTCCCAGGACAGGGTGGCTGAGCTCCCACATTGTTAACTGGCAGGCGTGAACCAGTGGTCAGGACACCTCACCATGGGCTACCATCCACAGCCTGAGGGTCGAACAGCTGCACAAAACAAAGGCCATCCCCGCACATGAGTGAGCTAAACCTCTAGAGAACGGGCAAACGTGGAGCTCCCGACCCAAGGCTAGAATGTGTGACGATTGCAGAGAAAAGGCTTTGCCACAGCGCCCCGGTCAAGCCCATGTCATCTGACCCTGGTGGACACACCGTCGTCGGCGTCCTCACTGGACTCGTCTCTGAAGGGGTTGAAGTCATCGTCATCTCCGGAGCTCATGTTCCTCGAGCTCTCACAGTCACTCTCCTCATCACCAGAGGCGTCCGACTCGCTCCCGCTGTCATCAGAGCTGCTACCAGCAAGGCCACCGACATTTCGTGCTTTTTTGGCTTCTCTAGTAATTTCTTCACCTATTCTCAAACCCCAAATGAGAGAGTGAGCCCAAACACACCGCTGCAAAAATCCAGTAAATTACATGTAGTTCCTGAGTTAATTCAATGGAGAACAGAAGAAATGCACTTACGTTAAGGCTGTTAGAGTAAGATTCACAAACAAGCACTAACCTTTTGGACTTACACAGAAACCAGGTTACGCCCAATTATTCTTAAGAAGGAATTAGATACATGAGTAAAAACTCAAGACTGCCTTCAATGCACAAGTTTCAAAATAAATTCAGACCAGAGATAAAATAGACCTTCTGGCACTGTCACAATTTAATTGTGTATCAGGTTTAGAGAAGAGGCCAAAATAATTACAGTTTTACACAATACTTAAACAAAAATAACTTTAGCCTGGCCAGCATGGCTCTGTGGTTGACTGTCGACCCATGAACCAGGAGGTCAGGGTTTGATTCCCGGTCAGGGCACAGGCCCGGGTTGCGGGCTCAATCCCCAGTGGGGGCGTGCAGGAGGCAGCCAATCAATGAGTCTCATCATAGATGTTTCTCTCTCTCCCCCTCTCCCTGAAATAAAAATAAATGAACAAGCAAAAAACACAAAATGCTCAAATCTACACTATTTTCAACATTAAAAAACCCACCTTTCCTCTTCTTTATTTTATTTTCTTTACAAGGACTATCTCTTGGTGAACTGTTGTTACTTGGAGCCGTTAAATCGATTCCCAGCAAACTATAAAGCTTTTTCCTGTCCGGAGCAGGGAAATGTTTTTCAATGAGTGACTGCAGCACTCCTCTGTTGTAGGAGAGAGAGAAAGTGACAATGAGCGAGCGATTCGGTTGTTTTAGTTTTTTTTTAAGAGAGAAAGGAAGGGAAAGGGGGAGAGAAACATAGATCCCACATGACCAGTAATGGAACCTGAAATCCTTCAGTGCACAGGATTATGCTCCAACCAAGCCACAGCAGCCAGAGTTTGAGCAATTCAGTTTGAAAAATTATTACATATAAATTCTTGCCCTGGCCGGGTAGCTCAGTTGGTTAAAGCATCATCCTGATATGCCAAGGTTGCAGGTCCATCTCCAGTCAGAGTACATATAAGAAGCAAGCAACAAATGTGTAAATAAAACAACAAATCCATGTTTCTCTCTCTCCACCCTTCCTTTCTCTCCCAAAAATCAATTAATAAATTATAAAAAAATTTAAAAGCAGAGCGAAACAGCAATTTTTACACTTTCTAGTAGCTACATTAAAAAGTAAAAGAAAACTGGTGACACTAATTCTAACAGTCTATTTTACTTAAACTCATTATATCACTTCAACATGTAATCAAAGATCTATTTTATGTTACTTTATCTGAAGTCTTTGAAACTGGTGTGTACTTTATACTTATAGCACATCTTACTTTAGACTAGCAAGTCACCTGCTCAATAGCCACATGACTGGTGGCTATCATTTAGACAGGGCACTACCAGACACACAAGTACAGAAAAAGGTTAGCAGGGGCATGTTTTGCTCTTAAAAGGAGTTTTTATTTGTATCTATCTTACAAGGAGGCACTTGAATGTAACCCCTAAGGCAAGAGACAGTATAATGGCAAAAATCATTTTGCTAATTTTATTATCAGAGATGGAACTGGCAGGTTAGGCAAAAAACCTGAACTCCAAGTCAGTGATTTTCAACCAGTGTGCTGCAAGAATTTTTAAAACATGCAATGCCTGACTAAAATTTAGTCAGGGGTACTAACCTCTTTCCCTTCAGATTGTCAAATTAAAAAATGACAACAGCCAACAAAACAAGAGCCATCTGGTGTGGGTGAATCAAAATTATACTTATTTTTTGGTCAGACTGGCAAAAAGTATATTTTTTGGTGTGCTGCAGAATTTTAGTAATTAGTTTGTGTGCCATGAGATGAAAAGGGTTGAAAATCACTGATCTAAGTAAAAACTCAAAACCAAAAACATTACTTGGCGGTTGAAACAAAATCATTCAGCTCTCCCCCGCCCTCTTCCAAGGCTTCCAGTGTCCTGGCTTCTCCTGTAGACTGCAGACCGATTACCACACACTGGAGTAAAAGAAAAATGCATTAATTATAAATAAAAATGTGCACGTGGTATTTAAAGACATTTTAAATATTTAGTAAAAAAAGATCTCAAGCAAGAATAGCCATTATTGTACATGGGTGCTCATTTATTTAGCCTCCACATATCTGAGACACGCTGTGTATAAAATCTCAGCTAGGAAATAGAATGACAGCTCGGGCACAACTGAAGCCCCCACCTGTTCTTTGTGCTTCAAGTAGAGATACATTCATCAAAAAAAAAAGACACCCTAAGACATACATCCGCATTATCAGGGTTAGAGCTATGGAGGGCCAAACTGCAGTCGTGTTTATTTCTTCACACTTTTGCGCTAAGTTCTTACAGCCACCCACTGCGTGTTACTGAGACCTGTGCTCGGTCTTAGCTGCGTGGACACCTCCTCAGCTGTCCTGTAGGCAGGTGCCCTTTACAAGGAGGAAATCACAGGACCCAAGAGACCTACAAACCTCTTACTGCGTCTTCCAGCTTACCTTTCCATTCTTGATTTCCTCTCGAGCTAGCTGAACAACCCTCTTCACTTTGGATGCTATGCACAAGTATTTGAAAAACCTCTGGTGAGCAGACCAAAACTGGCCCCACATGGATTTCTTCATTCGCTGCTCAGCATCGATCAGATCCGCGGCTTGCTGAAACCGCTCTCTGGCGATGACCCACTGAAGAGGCACAACCAACATTTTAGGTATTTCACCTTTAAGTACAGATTATTTTAAAATAATTAGTTCGCCTGGCAGGGCGTGGCTTGGCGGTCGACCATCAACCTAGGATCCAGGAAAATGAGGTTTGATTCCCAGTCAGGGCACATTCCCGGGTTGTGGGCTTGATCCCCAGTGGGGGGCATGCAGGAGGCAGCCAATCAATGACTCTCATCATTGACGTTTCAATCTCTCCCCCTCCCCCTTCCTCTCTCTGAAATCAATAAAGACTTATTTAAGAAAATAAATAAGTAAAATAAAATAACTAGTTCAATCAAAATACTGTCAAGGGCAAGACCATTTAACACTAATTTAGTGAAGCATATTCAGTAACTTTGGGATCTCTAAAAATGATTTTTAGGATGCTCACTTAACGCTGTCCCAAAATTCTTATGAACTGATGCGGGTATTTTAGGAAATAGTTGCTCTATGATTTTAAAACCACACAGCTGAAGTAAATGGCTGTTTCCATAAGTTAGCAAGAAGCAGCTTGAAGTATTAAGAAACGAGGACCTGGTGGCTCATCTGTTATTTTCTGGCAGAAATGCCGGTGGGCCAGCCCACATTACAGTGAACAAAACTGACAAACAGAACCATCACAGGTGCACTGAAAACACTAGGAATGAGGGGAATTCTCACCAGCTTCACTGCTTTGTTGTACATTTTCACGTAGCTCTGAGAAAGAAGAACTTCCTCAATTTTGAAGGTCACTCCGGTGAAGCTCAGCTGTCGAGCAATGTACATTCCTCTAAGCTTCATATCCATAGCAACTATTTCCATGGCACCGACACCTCTGAATAAAATTAACACACAGTAACTGTCATTAAATATAGTAGGGCTTCAGCACATGGGAAAGGGGTTTCAGCAGCACACATTGTTTAGACTGCTCCTGAGAACCAACAGGGACCACTGTGAACTGCATTACCTCCGTTCCACTGCCTGAATAAAGTCGCTGAATTCTCTAAATGGAGTCCCCTCACCCCATATTCCAAGACGGTTCATATAGGCCATGTTTCGTGGTTCAGAAGCACCTGAAAAAGACCAAATAAATCATATTATAGCTGAAAAAAACACCCCACATCTACCTTTTAAATGAACAACTACTCACCAGTGGCACTAGCATAAACAACTCTGGCTTTTGGCAACTTGTTCTGAAGCTCTAAAACTGCTAGGCCTGTCTTGGTTGGCTTTGAAGAACCAACAGGACATAAGTTTTTTGCTTTATGACATTCATCAAACACTATCTGTAAGGAATGAATTAAGGAACATAACACATCAGTAGTATGTGTCTTCCACTTTCCAGGAAGTTAACTTTCATTTCCCCGAGGCCTTGGGAGACATCCAAGATTTCCAGGGTGGAGGCCCTGGGATAAAATTCAAGATTATCAGGGGAAAGGATACTGTTGATAATAAGCCCCTGGGTATTAAGTTTTTAAAATAACACCCAGGTGCCTATCACCCAGGTCTGTCAAACCTTAGCATTCTGCCCTGTGCTCCAGGTTGCTCTCTCATTAGGATTACAAACATAATGAAGCCCTCTATGTGCCTCTCCTTGATTTAAGCCCCCCCTCAGGTCTCAGAGGCACTCAAGGATTCTGGTATTCATCTTAACCAGATATTTAGTTATTAGAATGGAGGAAAAGACCCACGGCAACAAGAAAGTCCACCACACAGAGAATTTTGGCAAATTCTGTCAGCAGAAGCACAACTAGTAACCCACTTAGTCAGCATTTCAAACACTGCCGTCCCCCATGCAGGACAGTGAGGGTGTGCTGGAGCACATCAGTCAGGAAAGCATGAAAGTAACAGTTCCCTCAGTCTTCTCAAGTGCTTTACCATGTAAACATGCGATGTGGATCCCAAGAGGGAAACAGTTTCAGCATTTCCCACACCTGTGAGCATCTTCCTAGCCAGGGACTTCAACACCAGCTTCGTACACGACAGCCAGAAAACAGAACCAACTTTCTGACCCCGTGGACTCTAGGTAATCATTAAAGCTCACGTCCCAGCAATTTGTTTGTTTAATCTCAGGATTCCTGTTGTCCAAATGTTCATCCTTGCATTAACTTTCATGCCATTAAAAAACATAAAAACGTCTGTTGCAAAGGATACCACTCCGTCAAAGTCATCGCCGCACCAGTGCAGAAGCTGTTTTAACCTCGTTTTATATTTACCACCAGACTGACTTTCACCAATAAGGGAAGAATATGTAGCAAAAATGACACCTTTTTTTACACTCCCGTTGTGTTTGGAAGAAATTTTTCCATACTTAAACTAAAAAGAAAAGGGAAGGATTTAGTACATGCACTTTTCTCTCTGAAGCATTTATCCCACCCAAACTTCTACAGCGGGGGTCTGGTGGTCCAGGGGGCTCGAGGACCTCCTAAGAGCACACGCAAAATTTCTCATACATATGACTGTATACCCACCCACACACATACGTGCATACAACTTTATGGTACAAGGGTGCAGTTTCCAAATTCTCAAAAAAGATTATAAACCGAACTCCCTTATAAAGCCACAACAGTCCTTCAACAAATATTACTCACTTACTACTACAGGCAGATCACTATACTTAAGCTCTGAGGGAATGTAAGTTACGGTTAACAGCGTGCCCGTCTCCAGTTACACTGACTGAATGGAGAACTTTCATACCTTATTTAATGAATGGACCAAAATGTTCTTTGCTCCAATATCTCTCAAATCCCTTTCAGCATCGTACTTCAAATCATTTGAAACACTGAACCTGCCAAAAACATAAATAATAGGTGCAAATTCCACCATTCTGTCAGTTTTCAGAAATAAGTAAAACTGGCCCTGACACTTGAGACACTACACATCTGCTCATTAAAACCCTCCCCCCACACTGAAGCAACAACCCACCGATGAAAGCTACCACAGCAGCAGTCAACACTTACCACAACGCCCTTTTCCTACTCAACAAATAGTTCTCGTAGATGATTCCTGCTATTGTCCTTCCTTTCCCCACACCAGCACCATCGCCGATTAAGAAGCCAGCACGGTCTCCATTAGGTAGGAATGTTTCATGTTGCTGGGGAAATAAAGCTGATGATTAATCTACACCTTCTGCTATTTTTGGTGATCAGTCCTTTATATATTGTTTCAGGGTTACACTAACATGACCTATATCTACATAAATGGCATAAGGTTTTACTTAGCGTGGATACTCTCTTTTTATTTACTATATATCCAATCTTGCTACGCTGGCATGCACCAGGTAACTAAAATTAACAAAGTGATGCACATTCTTCCACGCCCCTTTCAACACTCTCACAAACACAAGTTTTTTCATAGCACGTGGGGGGGGGAGATAGCTGTTTGGCCGTCACTTATTTTACAAAGATATGAGTATGACAGAAACCCTGTCAAAACGACTAGCCTAACTCTAATTCTCACTGCTTTTAAAGCTGATACAACACCTGAACAGTAACACCACAGTGTATTCAATCACCCCAGCGTGTGAGCTTTCCAATCTTTTCTAGCTTCCAGCCACCTGGGGAAAAGCTGCACCTGCCTTCTGCCATGCATGTCCTCCTCTCATGGTTCTATGGGACAGACCCCCAGCAGTGGAGTTGTTAGGTCAAAGGATATATGCACTTTTAGTTTAAATACATATTCCCAGGGAATTCCAAAAAGTTATGGCATTTGTCATTTGCACTAGCAATGTACTCCCCACACCCATGCTACCCCCCCATTTAATTTTCTAAGACATAAAACTTCTATAAAAATCGTATTCACTAGTTTTTCATGCGAGGAAAACTTACCTGTGGACTGAAACAACTACATTATGTAGACTAAAATTAAAGAGTATGCATGACATGCAGCGATCGAACATTACTGCTCACCTGGGCAGCATATGTAATTGCCTCAAGTTGTAATGCTGATAACCAGCCATTGTCAATGGTTTCTTCAGAAATGGATGCTTTGTACCAAACATCAGGAGGAGTAACACTGGATAAAGAACTAGTTTCCACCACAGCATCTGGGTGACGTAGCCCAATTTTTACTAGATGGAAATTTAAAAGTACTTCATTTTAATTATTCTAGGTAATAACAATACTTCCAATTGTATTATATGCAGTATTTTTCCTGTGACAGAAAATGTAAGTAAATTAACTATATACGCCAGGATTCTATAAAAAAACCACTGATTGATAGAAAGGTACTGCTTAAATTTGACTAAAATGACCTATTTATCAACTACCTATGTTTCAAATAGTGACTTGTTGATTAAAAAGATCTAGAAAAACACCAATTTAGTGTACACACCAGGTTTTATAGTAGTAACAGAACACAACCCTAGATTAGGGAGTCTGCATGAATGAACCATGTGCTTCAATCAGTGAAGAAGGTTTGTAATGTAATTTCATTTTGAAAGGTATTTCAAAAGGAATCTTGGCTACAGAATTAAACAGCAACTAGTTCCCAAAAGTGTATAAAGTAAATATAATTTAAAATAGGGGTCAGCACACTCTTTCTATAAATGGTCAAGTAGTAAATATTTTCAGCTTGGAGGGGCATCTGGTCTCTTTTACGCCTACTAAACATGCTGCTGTAGCAGGGTTAAAGCACCATCACCAATAAACAATGGGCAGAGCTATGCGTCAATAAAACTTTATTTATAAAAATGGACAATGGTCCAGATTTACTTTGCTGACTGATCTCTGACTTAAAGGGTCATCAATAAACTTTCAATCCTTTTGCGAAGACCACTATTGGAAAATTGCAGATACCACAACCTAAAGCTTGTTTTAAATGAACAGGAGAGTATGAGATCTCAGAACCTATACATGGTTGGTAAACAGAGACTTTTCGTTTCAGTGGTATTATTAGTGGCTTTTTATAAAAACCCAGGGTATATGAAAGACAAATAAGTATTAATTTTCATGGACATTATGGGAAAAAGGCAGAAATGATGTTAATGTAAAACACTGAACTCAAATCTTATCTTTAAGATTCCTACATTTTTATGACTTGTTGAAGGTAAGCTCTATAAACTACATAAGGCTAAGATACTTATTTTACATCTCTGCAACTTACTGATTTTATAATCATTGCTAATATGTGCAAAATTAACTCGAAACAAAATAAACCCAAGCTTTTATTCTTGGTTTTAAAAGACTTCAGCCTATAGCTTAAGACATTACAAAGCTAGTACTTGTCAAATCCTGGGGTACCCAACACGGATAGGCCATAATGGAAAATTTGTGGAAAGCTATGTAAGTTCAAGAGGAAGCCAGAGGCCGTCCTTGTCTGACAAACCCCAGGACGTACGTTTGATGGGCATGTATTCCGCGTAGGTCTCTGCGTGACCCATCTCCTCCTCCTCCTCCTCCTCTGGTTCATCCTCCTCTTTCACAGCAGGAACCTTCTGTAACACACAGCACCACCCACTCTCACTCCAGAGGCTGGAGGCCCGGCCACACAAACGCCTCTTCCACGGGAATACCCACAACCTTCAGTCCTGGAAACATGGCCCAACCCCTTCCACATTCCCCAGTGATGCGCACAGACCACCCGTAACCCGCCCCATCCCTCATACACCATCATTTCAAACTGCTGTCCCCTTCAGTACTGCCCACCACCTGCCCTGAGGCCCAGAACTCTGACCTCACCCCCTCACCGCTCACCCCATTCCAGGGAAAACCATTAGTAAAGCTCTTTATTAACAGGTGCTTGTTCAAGGAGCAAATACAGAAGCAGTTGTGAAACCCAGTATATCAAGGAGGAAGGAGGAGACAGAGAAAATCCCGGCTGGACCTACAGGTAGATGCCAAGGGTTACATGGCAGTGGAAGGAGGTAAGGGCAGACTCTTCTTCCGTTTTTACTTACTAACTTTTATTAAGTCTAGAGCAGAATATAAAGGCTCAGTCACTGTGAGAAGAAAAAGGGTGCTGGGAGATAAACACCCAACCAACACCAACCCAAGGGGTCCACAAGAAAAAAGACACACCCAGCGTTCTCAGAAAGCATGCCCAAATGACATCCAATTTTTGAAAATGGGAAACAAAATGGGATTGGCCAAAGAAACAGATATAAACCCCTATTCTGCTGTTATCTATCTGTGTAGCCTTGGGCAAATTAAAATTCTGAGTCCTCTCCCCTCCCCCAACTACCCAACTGGAATGCCTCCCATGCTAAACGACCAGCCCCTTCCGTCTCCCTTTACCTTATCTCCCCCACCTAAATTTCACCTAAGGATAAGACAGTAATACCAAAGAGCCACAAAATCCAGGGACTACACCAGGAAATATTTCTAAGCCAGCTGGCTATAAAATGGCAACTGTCCCCAAGCTTAGGGTCAAGGAGATACCTGGGAAGCCCTACCCAACACACGAAGTAGGTGTTCACTGCTCACCTCTAGGCACATGTTACTACTGGGGAATGTGGGCCTAGGGCTGTCAGGCTCTCCTATTTTTTAAGAGAACCTAGAAATCAGGATTTTTTATGTGTTAGCAAAAATTCAAAAATTTTCAAAAACTTGTGGAGGCCAAACAAACACATGTATCCACTGGTTTTGGTCTACAGGCTACTGGTTTGCAGTCTGCTGGACGTTCCCTAGCTGCAGCGCAGTACTTTGGCACATTGTGGGCCAGGATGGGCCAACTGTGAGCCTGAGCACTACCAGTGTCATTCCTAGAGAAGGCTGTGTTTTCTCTCTCTCTCTCCGAAAACCGACTCAAGTAAGCTGCTGGCGTACATTACCACATCCATCTTACCAACGATGCGATTTTACCCATCTGGTTTAGTCCACAGGAGTTTAATGCTTACTCACTCATTCATGTAGCTGAGTAGCCCACCTTCACCCAAAAAAAGTGTCCTGAGGGTTGCTCTTGAGCACGTTAGCCAAGCTACTTTCCCACCACACAGAAACACAGACACAGCTTTGAAACTCACCATGGTCGGGGAAAAACTCCTCATTTTCATGTCATTTATCCATATTCGTGCTACTTCTTTATTGGACGACTCTTTCTTTACTGTACCATTGCTTACATCAGCTGAAGGGGAGAGTCAATTCACATTTCAGAACAAAACCTCAATTTCCTTTCCTACAGTATTTTAAAAATCCAGTAAAACTTACCCACTTCACAAACCCAAACACACCAATCTGCTTACTACTAACTTAAATCAAGCCTAAGGATAAACACGCAAAGCTGTTTCCCATTACAAGTCGTTTAAAAGGAAATGTGCACAAAAAATTCAAAAGCTACTTATCAAAAAGACATCTTAACCACAACTATTTAATCGTTTATTTCAATATTTCATTTGGGGCCCTGGCTGGGTAGCTCAATTGGTTAGATCGGCACCCCAGTACGCCAAGGTTGTGGGTTTGACCCGTCAGGGCGCATACAGGAAGCAACCAGTGATGCATCAGCAAGTGGAGCAGCAAACTGATGTTCCCCTCCCTCCCTATCCTTTCTTCTCTCTCTAAAATCAATTTAAAAAAAGATACTTCACTTGGTTCATTAAAAAACAAACAAAAAACCTGGTGCTCTCACCAGGACAGAATCAATCTCAGTGGATCTGAAGGTACTTACTAACTTTTAAGGCAAAATAATTACATCCAGAAGAAAAAACCCACTGGGAACGCTACCTTCCTCCTCTCCTCACAGAGACAAGGAACTGTCGGTGAACCCGTCCCTCTCTGGCACCCATGCTCTGCATATCCTTTTTAGATAGAGCAACAGGCGCCCTCAATCCGAGTGTCAGAGTAGAACTGCTTAGTCAAGGAGTCCAGATCCCCTATAACTAGCCTCCATCTCTAAGTATTCAAGAAGAATCCTGGTACCTGGGATTCTTGAGATCAGTGTGAAAATCACACCAGGGGCACTGATTAGGGCCTTGTTTATTCTACCAAAAGATGGGGAGTATTTGGGTGCCTGTCACTTGGGAGTCCAAAATGTCTAGGATAAAAGTGCTGACAAAATAAGAACGCTGGAACAAAGATAATAAAGTTACTCTGGGGCACAATTTGTTTCACAGAACTGTGGGAGAGCCAGTGAGCAGTTCAGAGTGACAGGACTGGGGCCCAAGTGAGAGATGAGAACCCAAAGAGAAACCCCTTTGGGCTAAGGGCTCCAAAAGGAGCAACAGTTACACAGATAAAAAATAAAAGAACATGCAACACCTTGCTCTTTACGGTTTCATACTTTTACTGTTCTTCCCTTTCGGTAAAAAGGTGACCCTCTCCTACAACACAAACATATGCTTATCTCAGCATTCACTCACTGTTTCTTTTTCAGCCCTGGCCTTGTCAGACGGAGTTTCTCAGGCTTCCACACAAGGACGTCCTTGATTTGCAGTCTTTTGTCTTTTAAAATTACTACACTGCATGTGGGAGGTGTTACCGTATAAGATGTTACTCGGTCAGCTCCACATCTCTCCTGTTTTCTGTTCTGCTCTCCAAACGTCCCTCACATTGGCATACACCCTTTCCCATAAGTTATGAAAGCACATGCTGACTTGAGAAGTGGAGTGGATACTCAGAAAGCCACTCCCATAAAAGCAGCAGTCTTTCTCCTCATTAAACCCAAAACTTTAATGAAAAGCACCTTCCACTAACTGCTGATCACCCCCAAGTCTCCTAGGAGCCATTTTCAGAGGCTGCCCTGCACCTTAGCTAGGTCAGGGCCACGGTCTGCTCTCCGTGGCAGAAAATGGAAATCAGTCCGACGACTGTTAAGATACTTACGCAATGGGCAGGTATCTAGCTGCCACATTGTAGTTAGTTCTGGACAATGATGCTGAGAGTAAGATTATAGCCATGAGGGCACAACATTATAGACCCAACACAGAGATTAGATTATCTGGTGTCTTTAAACTGCATCTGTCACTGGAGACAGAGTTGGTCCTACATCATCCCACAAACACTTTGCCCCTTCCTTGGATGCACCTAGCCCTCTAACTTTATAAACACAAGCACGTTACTATTCCAAGTAGTCAATTCTGCCACAAAAGTACACATTGGTCTATACCAGGTATTAAAACTTATCCCCACAATCAGAAAAATAAAGCAGCTGTTTGGAAGGAGGAACCATCTATTCAATACCTGTTGCCTCATTCCAGGGGCCTGAGAGGATGTGCTAGCAGAAATCATCAGAAACCTCCCCTCTATTCCCTTAACCCAAAAATACAATCCCAAAGAAACTTCTGTTAAAAATGGGGGGCACCCCTTCCTATGCTAAAACTGTAACACAGTGGTCAGCTCAGAATACGACTGAGGTCAGAGTTCGCATCTCCAACAGTCATCATAGTTTGATTATATGACAAAGACTCAAATACTTAGTTAATGGAGAAAGCAAAGAAAGAATATCCCTCTTAAGAATTCACCTTTTTTAGTTTTAGTTTCTAAAAATACACTACTAAAACTTGATATAGCCAGAATTAAAGAGACAGATTAATGCAATTTTACCTTTAAAAATGACCTTACTGCACTAAATACGAAGCTCCCTGAGCACTCCACATGAAATTATAAACTCTTCCTGCCCCACACACTACCCTCCGTTTCTCTCCACAGCACTTATCCCGATACGCTACATAACGCACATATTATATAACTCTACTAGAATGCAAGCTCTGTGAGGGCAAGGATACCAACAGTTCTGGTCTTAGCCATAGCCTCAAAAATCCCAGAACAGTGTTTGACACACAGGCAAGCACTCAATAAATACTTGTTCAATGAATGAGTAACACAAAAAAGCCACTCCAGGGAAGGAAAACTGACTATAAAATCAATGTTCTTTATACATCAAGGAGTTTCTAAAAAAAGGTGTGATCAAACCACTGTTGGGCTATTTCCCTTTAAATCTAAACTTATCCATAAAGTATTATGGGTTAGCTAGTGGTAATGGTTGTACAGTTCTGTGAATATACTGAAATCCACTGAATTGTACACTTTAAATGGGAAAATTTTATGGTATGTAAATTATATCTCAATAAAGCTGTTATAAAAAAGTATTACAGGTGTTTACTCTTCAAAGAAAATACAGTGAATTATTTTACAAAGAGGGAGTGTATGTATTTTAAAAGAGAATTTACCAAAAACACGACTATCCATAAGTAATGAAGCGGTAGCAGAGTCACGCAGCGGAAGCATGCTGGGCCCGTAAGTAATGAAGCCAATGACAGGCAAAATCACAAAACTGTAAAAGTCAGAGTTAAAGTATCAACTATCAGTTTAAAGCCTGTTAACCTCAAGCATGGTCCAAGGACCCCAGCAACAGCACCTCCAAAAGCTTAGAAATGCAGACTCTTGGACCCCATTCCAGATCTACTGAATCTGACTGTTTTTGAACAAGATCCCCAAGTGACTCACAGGCATAGTCTGAGCAGCACTGATTTAAAGGGCTGAGGAAAATGTTAACTGCTATTCACAACACATAAACCTGAGACCTCACGGTGCCAATGCAGCCACTTGGTACCCACACTTCATTTCAAAGCTAATGCTAAGGCTCCTACATTTTTGCTCCTCTTGAACTGTATGAACACTGTAAGTGTACAGTCATGAAGTTATCACCATTACCTCTTTCATGTCCAGTTCTTTTAAGACCCAAGCAAACCCTTAAAAAAACACAGATAAATCTCACCAAAGGCAGACAACTGACACCACAGAAAAAGAAACTTACTAGCTGCGGTTGCAACCGGCTGAGCAATATTAGCCGGTGGCTTCAGTTTCATGAGTTCATTCAGACTGTTGTTTTTCAGAAGGTCCTTTAGTTGAACTTGGTCTTTGGAAGGTGCGGAGGTCACAGCATTTCGTACTGCTGGTGCTGAGACAGAAGGGCGCGTGTTTGCGGTGGTCTGAATAAACTTTGTTAAAGTGATGGTTTGCCTGTTCGTTGTTACAGGTGGTGTTTTAGTCATTACAATGGTAGATCCCAAGGTCGGAAGCTGATTTATTTGATTCAGCACAAATGTTGTCGTAGAAGGAGGCTGCTGCTAAAAAAGAAAACGATACATGTCACTCCACTCGAAGGCAGCTTTGTTCTTGTGTAGCCTCTATCATAAACATAGGAGGCCATGAAAATCTAAAATTGACTGTATTCTTACCTAACCAATGGCATTTCACTTTTAATTAAATGTTTATAATAAACTACCAAGCTAAAGCACACCATTTTGAGGAAAAGAAGGTAACAGTAGTAGTGTGACATTTTACATAACTGTCTGGGAGAACAAACAGAACTCTCCTGAGCACAGCACAGTACAGGAGATGCACAGTAACGCTGTATAACACAAGAAACAGAGCAGAAAGAATTTATAACCCCAGCCCTGCCCTAACTAGGCAGGCAGCCTTAGGTAAACCACTTTACCTCTGGAGGCCCAGGCTCTATGAGGGCTGTTTTCTGTTTCTAACATTCTATGACTCCTGGCTACTGCTGTGTTTGCTACCATACCGACTACACTAATGTTCAGAACTTAACAAGATAAAACCACCAAGCAGAGTTTTAAATTCCTATGTCACACATATGATCCAGACAGTAAATTACAAATATTGGTGATAATATGAGTGCTACCTCTCAAAGGTGCATAGCATTTTTATGGGGAAGGGAGTAGGAGCTGGACAAAAATGCAAAGAAAAAAAAGTCAAGATTTGAGAATAACAGTATGTCTGTGACTACAAGCAACTGAAGTATAACTGAGATACTTTTATAAATTTGTGTATTTTTACTTCCTATCCACCTCAAACTGTTATTTCTCCATGACTCCCATAACGAGAATCTTCCAGATGCTACTTATTACTTTTAAATAAAACTATCAAGAATAATTTATCACGTTACCAAATTTTAAACAGTTTGTCCAATAATTTTACACCACTAGGCTTAAGTTAATAACTGCTATGTTTAAAGCACAATTATAACCACATAAAAATTACACACACCAACGGACAAAAGTTAAAACAAACAAGTAAAAATGAAGAGTATAGTGGGATAATGCATAATTTACCTTAACTTCATAGATTTTGCATCATTTGCAATAAATAAATTTCTTTTTTGTCCAAATGATCTTTTGGACCAATATAACTACAATAAGAATGAAACAAACGTTTTACAAAGTAGGAGGTGAGAGCAGAATGTTGTTAAAGAGCAAAAAGCAGAACTGGTGAGATAAAACTGTTCTGCATGACAGGTTATTGTCTCACTATAGTCCTAAACTACTGCAGAAGTAATGCCAAATCTAAGTAATTCTTACCCTAACATTTAACAGTGCTGGAGTAGGTACCGTCTCTGGTTCTTGTTTAACAGGAACTGCTGCTTCAGTCTCCAAACCTAGTTCTAATGTACTAAGTGGCACTGACTGGAGAGAAAACAACATCGAGAAAAATAAAGAAGGGTGCAGTGAATTCCGTTTCAAGAACAAGAGATGTATTTACTTTATTAAGACAAAAAATGTTAAGCTTCACATTCAGATGGAATGTAAAACCACTGATGCAGGTGAAAGCAACAACCTTGCAAGCATGACAGCTTCACAAAAGTACTCTAACACCAGAATCTCACTTTTGCTTTCAGAAAATATGAATAGTGACAGCTCAGAAAAATGTTCCTATAAAGCACACAGAGACAACTATTAAGGAGATCAACCATCCTCCGAGAAAACTCTATAAACAATTCATCTCTTACTTTTACATATAGAGCAAAGCAAAAGATAATGCCTTGATTTTCGTTGCAAATGTTTTCCATCTCATGAATGAAGACTACTACTACTACTTTTACAGAGCCTTTGTTGTACTCTTACCTGGTGAACTGAAGGGGTAGGTGTTGGCGCTGCAAGCCCCGCATCTCCGCCATCAATATCAAAGAGGTCGTTCGGGCTAATTCCACTCTCACTCAAAGCAGCAAGCAGTAAATCTTGCCCTGGTTCCACCATCTTTAAAACAAAATATTAAATATTTACATAAAAAACTTAAAATGACAATTAACTCTCTTAAATATAAACCAACATCTTCTACCAGATCCATTCATTCAATGTTTATGAACAACCTGCTGCATGTCTGGCAAAAAGGAGACATAGTCTCTAATCCCCAAAAATTCAAATTAAGATAGAAAGGACGGCAAAGGATGTAAATCACAGCATGAGTGTGTCCACAAAATGCCGTGGGAACTAAAGGAAATGCTGAACTTTGTCGAGGGAGAGAGGTTACGAAGCCGACAATGGAGCTGAGTCTCAAGGAAGAAATCACTGGTGGACCAGGATCTTCTGGACGGTGTACTCACACCCAGGGAGGCGTGAAAGACACTGGCACACTGATACCAAAGCAGAGAAGACAACACAGGAACTGCCACAGCAGGCCAGGAGAGAGCCTACATGCCACACAGCAGGATGTGAAGACAAAGAAGGGGGTGTTGAGTCCCAGGTCTTTAGGAAGGAGAATCCCTAAGAACAGGTTTAAACAAAACCTCAAAATGGAAGGAAGAATATATATAAAAAGCATGAGCTGAAGGACAGAGTTAAGACAAGAAAATGGAATCACAAGCTGAGCCAGAAGCCTGAAAGATAAGTTACAGAGGTCTTGGGGGAAGCGCCTATTTAGGAGCAAACAAGTACGTCTGGGGCTGGGGTTTCCCACCTATACTCCTAGGAGTGAGAGCAAAGTATCTACCACCAACCTGGAACAAAAGCTTAACGGAGTTTTCTCAACTTTAACTTTTCTCATTAAATTCTCTGAAATAACCAACTTATATATACAAACATACTTATGGGGGATCTGTACTTGTTTGTCTCAGAAAACTAATTTCATGTTACAGAAATAACATACTAATCTTCAGCTGGTCCACTTGTTCTCAGACTATACAATAGAATTTAATGTGTTTCATTATGTCCTATAAGAAGGTGTAAGCCAAGAATGCAATGGCCATCACTTTCCACATATAAGAACTACTGTTTTAGAAGAAAGCAAGATATTTAACAGAGGGATCTTCTATTAGAGAGGTCTATGTCACCTGAGCTTGTGTATCATTTAGAAAGAAGTTCTAACGAACACATGAGTGCATTTAAGGTAGAAAACCAGACATCCAGAACTGAAACTAAGGCAGACTTACAGTTTAAAGGACAGGAGGAAGGACAGAGCCCAAAGGAGACGTCCCAAAAACTTTTCAGAAGTCTAGGGAAGAAAACAATTTGAGCAGGAAGGGGGAGGAGAAGGGAACGGACAGTGACTAAGTATCTTTTACAAGCCTGACACAGTGTTAGGCTCTCCATACACATCACAAGCCCACAACCCTAAGCAAGATGAAACTGAGGCTCAGAAAGCTTAAATTACCTAGTCAAGGTCACCCACTCACAACTAGATCTTCAAAGCCCATTTAGTCTCTTTTCAATGAGTAGATCAAAAAGTCAGTGTTGGTAACCCTGAAGTTTCAACACTTAAAATTGGAAGGGGGCGGAGTATTAGACAGCAAGATAAAATAGAATGAAGGAACTGAATGTTGGAGACAAAGAGCAGAAATGTCCCAACATGGATTTAAAATAAAGTTGATCATTTTTCTAATATAGACATAGTTGACCACATGTCGCAAATTACCCTAGTACACAGTACAAATAAATACCAAGAGAGCTAAACCAATGCTTTCAAAACATTGTCAATCCATAAAATACTTCATTAGGACCTGTGGGAATAGGGGATCTTGGCCGACTTGCTATGGCTAATCTTGACCTAAACTAATAAAACGAGGCTACCAAAATGTCATTTTTAAAAAGTAAATACTAGAGATAGTTTACATTTGAAACAAAAGCACACTGTTTTAAGCCAGTGACTCCTAAACTACAGAACACTTGGAGGTCCCAGGGCCCACTAACCCATCAGATGAGCACCAAGCCTTGTCTATTTACACTCAAATATACACAAAGGTCATTAACTCACGAAACAAAAAAAATCACTAAAAAGTGTAACTGAGTTCATCACAATGAGCATTAGAAGTACAAAACATATTATCATGGAAGGGAGGAATTTTGGGGAGAAACTTAGTGTTCAGACAAGAAATGATGTCAACAGTTCAGTGCTACTCAAAATTCATTCATAGGAATCACAATTTGAGATCTCTGATTTTAGTGACCTAATATTGACAAGCTACTAATAAAAGAGATTTTAATTTTATATACATTTTACAAATATAGGGATACTTTCTCTCTTAGCCAAACGGGTACAAATTCCCTATGTGCACTGTTTTGCAGCGAGGAGGAAAAGGGATAGAGAGGAAGCACCTGTGCCATTCTCTAACTCCATCAGGCAAAACCCTTAATATTTAATCATATTCCTGTTCTGAAACTATTACAGACTCATGGAATTTCAGTGCTCAGCTGAGAGAGCCCTTAAAAGGTTATATTATCCAATCTTCTCACTTTTACAAATAAGTAGGAATTATTCCTGAGAGGAAAACAACATTTTCACTTTGAACCCACTAAGTAGAATATGAATGCAAATACTGTTAGGCATAAGAGAACTGCATTACAATGTGTCTACAAAGGATTTCATAGACCTCAGACGACATGCAACATGTAGCAATCCAACAAACCCAAAAGTTACTAACAGCAGTGATTCTACCTCAGACAATGGACAACAAAATGGCTTCCTTTTTATCACAAATACATTTGAAAATGATCACCTATTTCAAAACAGCACACTATAAAAGCGACAACGATAAATAAGAAACAAGGACACAGTAGTAGAGAGAAACTAAGAGCCATCCCTGGCAGGAAGAGAATCCCGAGGAAACAATAGCCAATCGGAAGAATGGAGGATACAGTTCCCACAGAGAACACAGAGAACACCAACACTGAGACCTACAACGAGGACAAGGTTTCTCTTGTTGAGACCTAAACCAGATCCTCACAGCTCACAGCGCAGCCAGATCTGAGGGCTGCGTGGGAGCAGCACACACAGAGGCGGAGCGGACTACGGAGTCAAGCACAGCATCTGGGTTCAAATACTGGCCACATCACCCACTAGTAGCACAGTATGGTCAAGTAGGATTCCATGACTACGTGTCTTCATCTTCGAATGGGAATAAAACAGAACCTGCCTCACAGGACTGCTGTACTACTTGAAATAAATGTTAGTTACTATCATTTTGATAAACATTAGTATTGTGTCCCAAAAATGTTTTCTTCCATATTGCTGATGCAACACTTTTTTTTTGCCTTTTTTTTTGTTTTTTATTAAATTTATTGGGGTGACAATGGTTGATATGAACATATAAGTTTCAGGTGTGACAACACTTTATTTCCCAGAATACAAACTATTTGCTGGCAATCTGTTCAACAATTAACTCTCAAATCATTCTATAAAACACTAGTTTTCCCTTCTGCCCAAAGTGTTACACATCTAGCTTATCCCGGTTAGTGTCTCTGGGATACTGATAGATACCTTTAAATGAGCACAGAAAATATCACTTAGTAAGTATCTTTGCCAAAACTAATAACAAAAAGGGTTTTTTCTCTTGTTATTTAATAGTGCTAAGCATATCTAATTTTTCACTCAGCTTCAATTTTGCTCTTATGCAGCCCAGATGTGAGGACTGACATACAGTTAAAGAATTTAAAGGATAATGGCCCACTTAGAACTTAGCTGATATAGTCCATCAACAGGTATTTATTGTCTACTGAGAACAGGTTCATCAAAAACATGAGGAAAAAAATAGTTGGTATAAAATTTGTTAGAGTTTTCTTTATTCCTGGCCGATGTTCCCAGTGGTTAGAGCATCAGCCCTCGCAAGGTGGCGTCTCAGGTTCCATTCCTTGTCGAGGGTGAGTACCTGGGTGGCAGGTTCCCATGCGGAAGGCAACCAGTCTACTTGTCTCTCTCACATAGATGTTTCTCTCTTTCCCTCCCTCCCTTCCACTTTCTCAGAAAAGCAATGGAAAAAATAAAGTTTTCTTTACCTAAAAAGTTATCATTTGTATTTTTTAAACACCTAATTCTCAAGGGAGAAATTGATCAGTTAAAGTGGCCGTCCCCACATTCTCACGCAAAACTGATAGGAAGAAAGGATTCACCAAAGGAATCTGTAAATTATAAACAATGTTTCAAGCCCTGGTGGGGTAGCTCAGTTGGTTAGAGTGTCTTACCTACACACTAAGGTTGTGGGTTTGATCCCTTGCCAGGGCACATACAAGAAACCACCAATGAATGCATAAATAAATGGAACATCACATTGATATTTCTCTCTCTCCCCCTTCCTCTTGCTCTCTCTCTAAAAAAGAAAGAAAAAAGAAAAACAAAGTTTCAAAAATGCTTCCCCAAAGAAATATGAGAAAGAATCAGGTGGGAAAACAAAACAACTTTCTTGTTCATCTCCATCAAATTCACATTGTTAGCTTTCTTGAGATTTAGTATGATTGAATTTTTTCTCTTTTAACCTTCAAGACAGCCCATGAGTAAATGCTATCCATTTATCCCCTTGTCAGAGGAGAAACTGAGGCCTAGGAAGGAAGTATAGCAAGGTAACAACAGATCCAGAGTCTGACACCACATTCTCTCCAAGATTCTGTACTCCTAACCCTTTAGGAGTATTTTTCAAACTGCTGGCCACAACATAGTGGGTTGTCAAATCAGTTTAGTGCACCCTGACCAGTATTTTTAAACATTTCAGCACAGAACAGAGAACCAATGCACAGCATGTAGAGAGAGAAAAGATTATTTCATAAAAAGAGTTTTTCAGTTCTATGTGTGCATATATACTAGGTCACAATGTAAAACATATTCCTTACCCTGGTATTCAGTAAAAAGGGTTTTTTTGTGGGGAGGAATGCACTGTGCAATTTACTGCCTCAAAAAAAAAAAAAAAAAGTTAATTTGATGCCTTTTGTACCATATCTTATTCATAAAACAGTTTCTGCTCCTAAAGAGCCTAGCTTTTCCATCTACAGAAATTTCAATAATATCCCAAGGTGGTCTCTAAAACTTAGTCAATTCAACCACATCTATCAATTAGCACTGAAAAACAAAGAACACTGCAAAAACCTTAGGATTACACCATTTGGGTTATTAATTGCCTATTTAATGTAAAAGCAACTCCTCTTAGAAAGTATCTTTACTTCCTGAGGCAGGCATAGCGTGGGAACCCACAGAGCCTCACGAAAAGTCAGATTACTTAGATCTGAGTGCGCATGTCCTTCACAGGTGGCAGGTCTGAAATCAAAGCCCAATTTAGAGACTAAGAGATACCCAAATGTGTCTGTAGCTAAAGTCTTTGAAACAAATTTTAAAAAGCATGTAAAGCCCTGGCTCGGTAGCTCGGTAGCTCGTCCTGATTTGACAAGGTTTTAGGTTCGACCCCCAGTCGGGTACACACAAGAAACAACCAATGATGCATAAGTAGGTTCAACAACAAATCAATGTTTCTCTCTCAAATCAACTTTTTTTAAATAAAAAAGCACGTAAAGGACCCCCATATTACCTGTTTCTTATTTTAAGTTTTACTTACTTATTGACTGGAGAGAGAGAAACACTGATTTGTTGTTCCAATTACTTATGCATCCCTTGTTTGATTTTTCAATGTGCCCACTGAGGATCGAACCCAAAACCTTGGCATATCAGGACGATGCTCTAACCAACTGAGCTACCCCAGCCAGGGCCCGTACTGCCCGTTTTTAAGTAGTAATTTCAGCAAAACCCTTAAAATCTGTAAAACTGCCTGACATAACAGCATTCAATGAATGAATGAGTGAACGAACTGCAAGCCACTCAGCCTCCCTTAACGCTTACCCAGACACTAGTGTAAAACTTCCTTAAAAATCCTTACGAGAATCACGTGGCATAAAGTTAGACCGGGAGACTAAACAGCAGAAGCCAGAGGAAAAGGCGTCTCTCGCCCGGTGAGGTAAAATTCGGGAACCACCTTGAAACGTGAAAAGAAAAGGCTCCCTCGCTTGCAAAGTGAACGTCCCACCTCCAGGCGCCGGCAGCGAAGCCGCGCACACTGTGTTCAGGCGGCGAGCACGGCCCCCCACAGCTGGGGCGCAGCTCCGGGCGCCGCGGAACCGGGGGCGCGGGCTCCGGGCACTGCGCGGTCCGG